TAAACGTCACTTCTATAGGTTCTGATTCATGGGTGACACTACCAGACAATAAAGGTCGTCCATCTATGACCTCAACGTGAACAAGTTTGGATTTTTGTACTAAAAGGATCTTATGACGCTTTACAAATTCTTTGTCTAAGAAACAAGCAGATGCTCCTGAATCTAATAATACTAAGGTTCTCAGTTTCTGAGGGCCAATAAGCAAAGGGATTGTAAAACAAAGGGCAGATTGAGTGGAAAGAAAGGAACCTGGTTGTTGTTGCGATATTTCACTGTCCAGCCGCACGGTTTCTATTGTGGCTGGACATCTTCGTTTTCCTAAATAAACGCATCCCTAGTCTTGATAATACGTCGAATTTGCTTCTTGGGACAATTTTCAACTTTGTGGCCTTCTTCACCGCAATACAAGCATAGACCTTCCTCCATACGTCACTTTTTTTCTTCTAGAGTAAGAGATTTGACACGTACCGCATCAATTTGCATGTCTTCTACCTCTGAATGTGAATTCACGCTGCTTGCCGACATAGTTGGGGTGTGACAAACCGTATGTTGTCTTGAACGTTGGTCTTGGTGACGTTGGAATAGGCAATTATCGTACTTCACAGCTTAGCTAATAGCTTCGTTGAGCGTTTGCGAATCAGGAAGAGTTAACAGCAAATCCTTCACATCGTCTCTTAAATCCCAATAGAATTGACTCATCAATGCTTCTTCGTCCCAATTGATGTCGCATGCTAACTGCCTGAAGTCATATGCATAGACTGATGTAGAACGCATCCCTTGTCGTAGTGACCGGATCTTTGTTGTAGCCCATCGAACCTTGTCGTGTTCACCAAATGCTTCTGCAAATGCTTCCTAAAAGGTTTCAAAGTTGTTTAGTATGGACGATCGTTTCTCAAACAAAGGAGCAAACCATGATAGAGCTTGTCCTGTAAGTAAGGTTCCAACAAGCCCAACACGTGACTCCTCCGTTGGATAGCGTTCGGGCTGTAAAACTGTTATTAACCTGATTTGGTTGAGGAATCCTCGAAACTTGGAACGTGTACCATCGAACTTGTCCGGAAGGCTAACTCGGGATTCCTTATGTTGTAGAACCAGCGGTGCTTGTCAAACCTGAGGCAAAGTTGCTTCTCTAAGTGTAGAAGTTTGAGACTAGTGCAACCTAGATTATGCCATCCTAGATGCTCCATCATTATGAAGCCTTGCCATGACTCCTTCAATCTTTGCAGTTCTTTGCGATAACATAGCGAGGGCATTCATGATAGCATCTAACTTGGACTCTGAACTTTCCGTCATATTAATGTCTTGGCCCCCAATCATTCTAAGAGAAGGACAGAAATGACTCTACAAGAAGACAATATTGGTTTAGAGGAGGGTACTCCGCAACCTCTAAAATGCCTTAAGAGCTTCAAGAAAAGGGATAATCTACTCTCTCCAAGAAGAATAAGACTCCAATATTGTAACAAAAGAAGTATCAGTTTAGAGGAGGGTAATCCGCAACCTCTAAAGTGCTAGTACACTTCCAAGCAGAGGGATAATCCACACTCTAACAAAGAAGAAACTAGCTCTGATATCTGAGGTGAATGAAGTCTCGACAAACTGTTACGGACATAGAATACAAACTTGATATCTACTAAGAAGTTCAAGAAGAACTAGCAAGAACTAGATTAATCAGATGAATACAAGAACAACACCAGAGAGGTGAGCTAGAGCTCCAAGAGATGTGTTGTCGAGACTGAAGAACTCTTCAGCCTCGATTCTAATATATACTCCTATTTAGGAAGCTTCTCAAGCAACTTCTACCAACTAGGAAGCTTCTAGAAGGTTCCAAAGACTTGCTTCTAGAAGGTTCTAGAAACTTATCTCTAGAAGGTTCTAAGGACTATGTTCCTAGAAGGTTCTAGAAACTTGTCTCTAGAAGGTTCTAGAAACTTGTCTCTAGAAGGTTCTAAGGACTATGTTCCTAACAGCATCAGGATGCTTATTTCAAGATGGTTAGGAATTGACTGAAGGTGGACAATATATAATATCAAAATTACACTTTTAGTGATGTCTTACTCTATTTCAAGAAACGGATTAATGTGCTTAATAATACTATACTTTGGAAGTACATACTTCAAAAAAGACATAATATCTAATATTTGGACATCTAAGAAGAGAAAAGACTTTAGAATAGATCTCAAGGACATAGTTTCGGATAGGTTTGGATTATGATGTTCAAACCTTTGTATGCTCCTATAAGTCATGTCAACATAATAAAATATGTAATATATTATTTTTTAAATTATTATAGCTAATTTTGTTATTTGCGGCACATTGGGAGCAGGTGATTATGGATTTTATTACGTATTTGCCACAGATGCCTCATAATCATACTGTGGTTGGCGTCTTTGTGGATTGACTTTCGAAGCAACTTTACTTAGTTGCAGTGTGTTCAAATATTGATGCTCCAATGCTTATATGAGTCTTCTTTGATACCATCTTTCATCATCATGGATTATTTTGTATCATTATTTGAGATCAAGATCTATACTTTATAAGAAATTTTTGCTTAACCTTCTTCAAGTTACTAGGCACACGACTTACTATATCTACAACCTTCTATTCCTAAATAGATAGACAAATAGAACATGCAAATCAGACCTTGGAGGATATACTATGGATATTTGTGGTGGTTCATCATAATGATTGAAAAGAATACTTAATGCCCTCGGAATTTGCTTACAATGATAGTATTTAAGTAAGTACCAATCATTCACTATTTTTTCTTAATATCAGTCAACATCCACTTATACTAACAACTCTTCATTGTCCCATCAACACCAACAATTCAACAATAGAGGAATTTATATAACAACTTACAATGGCTTACAAGAGGTAAGGCATCGCTTCTTTACTGTACAAAATCAACAAAATTAGTATGGAAATAACTATCGACAATACAAGACCTTTTGAAAGAGTGATCAATTATTACTCTCTAATACCAACTTGCCACTTACTACATCAATCCAAATCTATAAACTAACACCTTGATAGCTTGGACCTTTTTGTGTTTCTGCAATGATTGCATACTATCTCAGGCTTCCACTACATATTTGGATCTATCGAATCTTCCATGTTTCGCAACTAAAGGAATTTCATACTCAGCCTAAGTGCTTTTCAGATCGTCACCAATAATCACCACCATCAGTTGTAGTTGTTGATTAAAAAGAATATAAAGAAGACAATATTTTGGAGCATCACTACTTTTGTCATGGTAGTGGACATCCACAACTTCAGTACAAAGTTCTTTGGAAAGATTATCCCATTCACAATTCAACATAGGAACCTATACAAAACCTCACTTATTGCGAAGAGACAATTTGGAGATACCATTAGGAGTGAAACAAGGATGTTCCATATTAGTGGAAGGGAATTAAGTATAATAAGGTATAGATAAGATAAATGTATAGATAGTTAGAACCATGGAAGTTTCTAGAATCTAGATTAGGTTAGTGGATCAGATAGGATCCACTATGGAATATTCTAGAAAGAATTTAGGGAGATTATTTAGGTAGGGCCTATCATAGAACCTTCTAGAAAAAGAGTTTAAAGTGGTTATTTAGGTGGGATCTACTACCTAGAAATATTCTAGAAAGTCTAAGGTAGTATGACAAGATATAAATAGGACTAGCCAAGGCCTTTTAGGACATCTGTTCAGGTATGGCTTTGGACCCTTTTTCTTAATAAAATTTGGTTTTATATCTTTTTGTTCAGTTCTGTTTTGTTCTATTTTTGTTTGCTCAATTTTGTCTTTCATATCCTATTTTGTTTAGTTTTGTTCACTTTTGTCCTAGTTTGTTTTGTCCTATTTTGTGATGAGGCTTTATATTGCTGTGGATTAGAAGGATCTTGGATTTTTGACATAGTCTGGTCATGTTTCAAGTATTGTCACAAATGGGAGTAGATGACAAATTCCATTCAATAGCTTTTTATTCTAAAAAATTTTAAGCAGTTGAAATTAATTATGAGATCTATGACAAAGAGCTCCTTCTAATCATAGATCCATTTTAAATATGGCTTTATTATTTAGAAGGCGCCTCAAGTCTAATCACTATATGAACAAATCATAAGAATCTCAAATACCTCATGTTGGTATGTATTTTAAATCATTGCCAAGCTTATTGGAGCATGTCTTTATCAAGATGTGATTTCAAGATTACTTATCAATCTAGAAAACAAGGTTTATTAGATGCCCTTTTTAGATATTTTTATCTTATACCAAAAGAAGGAAATGCATCTTTTGATCAACAAAGAAAAATTTTCTTAAAATTGGAGCATTTTTATTTTTGAGCAATAAAATCAACATTAATTATTGATTCAACCTTTGTCAAGCAAATTAAATCAAGTATGTCCACTAATCTTCTTGTTTATGATATCAAAAATACTTCTTTTAAGTCTCATAATAATTCCAAGTTTGAGTTCAAGAATACTTTTTTCTATTTTAAGGAGAAATTATACATTCTAAAAGGCGAATTATGATTACATAATCTTTGAACTCATCATGACTTTTTAATATCCAAACATTTTTGATACAATAAAACTTTGGAACTAATACTCAAAGATTTTTGGTGGTCTCAAATGTGAAAGGTAATTCAAAACTTTGTACAATTGTGTGATATTTGACCAAGATCCAAAATTCCTTACCATCAACTTTATGGACTTTTTCAACCATTACTTATTTCAAAAAGTTAGAATTAAACTAATATCAAATAAAATGAAATATTCTAAAAAACTATCAAAATGATATTCTCTTTTATCACTGTAGAAGGAGAAAAGTATTCATGTGGAAGGATAATCGTACCCCTCCACAGGAATAATCGTATCCCTGCTACTCAAATGCTAAGCCTGCACTCTGAGAGAAGACCCATGTTTCCAAGAACCCCTCCAAACTATAGTTGTTCTTTACAACAAGATGAACAAGTTACAAAGTATGAACAGTAAGAATCCCATTTACACCGGTATTACAAGCCACAAACTGTATCATGCTTACAATCGTCGTATTTCAATACAATCGCCCTTAGTCCGCATAATCAGAACTAATAATCTCTGTAGCTTAAGATTCATAGTGTGAAAGCTATCAAAATGCATTCTTAAGGAATCTTCCATGCTTATTCCTAGACGGAATTGCATGCATCGACAATAGAATCTTAAGCTACAAACTAATATCCTCCCGTTCAACACTCTTGCTGAGGGATTTAAATTAAGAAAAGAAAATGGAACGAGAGTAGTAAACTAAAAATAAAAATAAAACAAGCACCGCACTAATACGAGCAGCACCCACCCGTCCTTGGTGTTGTGTCATCTCCCCCAGCCAATCTTTGACCACTTGCAACAACTGTGTTAGACTTATTAGGGTCTGCTGTTAAGGCTTTCTTACTAACTATCTTGTGAATCTCTTTAAGTACAGTCTGGAAAGCTTCGGCCACATTCACAGACTCCAAAGCAGATGTCTCCATGAAGGACATAGCATTATTCTCTGCCAGAGCTGTCGCTTCTTCCACAGTAACCTCCCGTATGTGTGCAAGATCGCTCTTATTCCCAACAAGCATTACAACCACGCTTGAATCGGAATGAACTGCAGCAGCCAACACATAACCAGAAATAAGACATTAAACGACATCTACAAGATCGAAAAAAATAGCTAAAGCTAACTACTTTCTTCATATAAATGAAGTACTCAATGTGTTATCATCGGCTAGTTACGCTAAAAATTTAACAAAACAAGCTTGCTAAGAAGAACCGCGGAACGGCGACTTGTGAGCATTGGCTCACATAAACTCATTTTGGACTTTCAAAAAGAAAAATAGTGATGGAAAGGTATCCAAAGAGACCCACTTCCATTACAGAACCTTAGAAAGATACGAGCATAAGCCGCAAAGGTAGATTACTATGATGAGAAACAGATGCAATATCATCACACGGTCACCTACCCACATCAAGGAGATTGCAAAAAATTATTTCTACAAAAAATATTTTCAAACTTGCCCTAAAAACATGATTTCAATAGTGAGCATTATAACAAACTGACAAGTCAACTTTTAAGTAACTCCTCGCCAGATTCCTGTCAGTAGTAATTGACTGTCTAACCTGAGACAGTTGTGCAAAGGAATCACATGAAACATCGGTTCTGAAACTACTAAGCTACTGCAACCACTCCCTCAAACAACCGCCTGTTATTTCTTCCGCTACTCTAATTCGTCGATCAGGAAAAACCACTTAGGAATGTAACGCGACCCCAGTAAGAAACACCTTTAATTTTCCAGAATCCATTTTAATAAGAAGAATGCCTTGAAGCATGTAAATGAGATGACCAAAAAAAACGTACAGAATCGCAATGGTACTCCGGATTTCACATTTCTGATAAACTCATGTCAGACATGCGTTCCGGTCTCTGCTCCAACCTCACTTTACATCACGATTTACGCAATACTACACCACTCTTAACATCATGAAGGCTAAATAAGTAAATTCCTACGTCAGTTACCTTCAAAATAAAAATAAAATAAAATAAAATAAAATAAGAGACGTCCATAAAATTCCAATCGATCTCGATGTGAGCAACATCGTCTCCAATCGTTCGCTTCCAGGGCACTGCTATGTCTACTAACTCCTCAACCCAGAGGAAACATCTACTTGTTAAGATTCCGGGCCACAATTGTTGTGGGCTCGTAAGGAGAAGAGAAAAAAATAAAACAAATAAAATAAAAAACGATTTCGTCAACAAAGTCCAAAAGTAGTTTCAGTGAAAAATAAATAAAGCGCCGAAGTGGCACGTGAGGAGAAGCAAACTGACCTTTAAGTTCGTCAAGCCAGCGACTAACATTCTCGAAGGTGCCGCGACGGGTGATGTCGAAGACGATGAGTGCCCCGACGGCACCACGGTAATAGGCGGAAGTGACGGCGCGGAAGCGTTCCTGGCCAGCCGTGTCCCAGATCTGGGCCTTCACCTCCTTGCCATCGATTTCCATGGACTGCGTTTGAAACTCCACACCGATGGTCGCCTTGGAGTTGGAGTTAAACTCGTTTCTCGCATACCGAGAAAGAAGGTTGGATTTCCCGACTGCGCTGTCACCGATAAGCACCACCTTGAACAAATAGTCCTCGCTCTGCTCATCCTGGTACGACATTGCTCCTCCGATGCCTCCAACACCTGAACAAAGGACCAGTGCGCGGCACAAAATGCGGCCACGCTCTCCCTCTAACTCCGCCAACTACCTACGAGATCGAGGCACAAAATCCCTTGGGGTTTGGGCTGAGGCAGCAGCATGTAGAGTGAGGCTTCAGTAGGCTTCACCTTGCTTCCTCTGTTCCAAGGGGAACCTTCAACTTCAAGCAAGCAACGCGAGCTTCAGCTGGAGCTGCGAAGAGTGGTGCGGTCGACGACGACGACGAGGAGAACGACGATGTCCGATTTGCTTGGGAGCGCCGCACTTTCCTGTTCTCAAGACCCGAGGGAACGCGAGAATGGATGAACGAGAAGAACATTCATCGCTTCGCTTGATTCTTGTTCGAATTGAAGCGGCAGTTAGTGATGTGGGTGGGCCATCAACTCCCGCCCTCCCCCCCCCCCAATTAAAGCGTCACATTACTTTTGATTCCACTTGTCCATTCGGGGTCTAAATTAGCCCTGCTACTGCTTCTACTGCTTCTACCCCGATGCTACCACCGAGTGTGAAAGGGCGACGTCTGATTTAGCACATGGCATGTCAATTGTAATAAGGGGACCTTTAGACGAAGGAGAGAGAGGATACAACTTTTGTATTTTTTGGGTGGCTGAAATCTTGAGGTTTCTCAATTCTAGCTAATTAAGAGATTAAAAGATTGTGGTCTCTCACCTTGTTCACCAAGTACAAAGACTCATAGGGGATCCATAGAATATGATAAATTTGTTTTGTTTTTGTTTGTTTTTGTTTGTTTTTTTGTATTTTTGTAATTAGGGAGAAACCAATTTGAAACTAAGATCTAAAGAAATTGAATATCGATCAAATATGTTCATCTAAATGAAAAATAATTGATAGATTTTAAAATAGTATTAATGTGCTTAGTTATTATAAAATTTCAAAGATAATGAATCTAATTAAAGATACATTATTTCAAATCAATGCAATACATATGCATTAAAATTTATAAAAAAATAATATAGATTTTTTACATACCCAAAGTTTTAAATCAGTTTTTCTTGTTTCATTAATATTATGGATATTAAATAATAAGGGTATCATATGTTTTTGAAAAAACAAAATTTTAACATCATTTTAAATTTTCATATATATATATATATATATATATATATATATATATATATAAGTATTGTGTATAATTATATTTTCATATATACACAATACTTGTATATTCAATATTCCAAGTTCTAAGTAAAAATAGTTAAAAAGTATTGTGCATAATTATTTTAAAATAATAATAATAATAATAATAATAATAATAAGAATAATAATAACAACAACAACAACAACAATAATGTTTTTTTGTACAATATATTTTATTTATATTTTTTATATTTATAACATCCACATTGAATATATTATTTCTTATATTATTACCAATCAACTTAATGATAAGTATAAATACTATTTTAAGCTCAAACTATATTTTATGGATATTAAATCTAATTTAATAATCTTATTACTATTGACAACTAATTTATGCATCAAAAAGCTAATATGTGGAGAAAGAATTACAAATTTTATGTTTCTTTCCATAAATTACAATTGCATCACAACTAAAATTTGTTATTTGATATAGCTGAGATTTCAATCCATATACAAAACTTAATATAATTTATTTTTATTAATTACTTTTATATATATAAATCTTATTCATAGTTTTTTCACATTAATATTCATGGTATATAATAATAATATTTTATTATTATTATAAAAATTCTATCATAAAAATTTATTTTCCATAAAAATATCATATAATACAACTAAAATATATAAAATTATGATAAATTTTTTATATATGAAACTAAGAATTTGAATATTATAAAAGAATTATAATCACAAATATTTTAAATATTATGTACAAAAGAGAATATTAAATAGAGGAGTATTAAATTGATCCACTTATTTCAACCATCATGAAAAAAAATAAAATGACCTTTAGATTCATTTTTCTATTATTAAATTTAGAAATATATAAAATATTTAGAAATATATAAAATTATATCAATATTTTATTTTTATATTTTTGCTATATATATATATATATATATATGTATTTATTAAAAAAAATATAAAAGGCTAAATTTTCTAATAGTATTGTGATACTGATTAAAAATGATAATATTAATATCATTCAACTCTACTTATCTTTACATAATAAAAGTTAATTTGTATAAAATAATACACATCAAATTTTATCTATAAATTAATATGCTCTAATATATGTTATATCATTGGAAATATAAAAGAATGTTTTTCAAAAAAATATTTTTTTAATTATCTTTTATAAAGTAGATATCCAATAAAAAGATAGTAAAAAGTTTTTGGACCATGCAATTATTTCATTAACTTATTTTAAAATTATTTTGTCCTTCTTTATTCATTGTTTCTTGTTAGTTAAATGTCTCATTTATCACCACCAATTACAAGCAAATCTTAATTGATGCCATCTTGTAATTTGGATTGAGAGATAAATTTTACTCTTACATTTTGATATGTTTGCTAGAAGATGGTGCTTCTAATAATGTGTTGATATAAGGTTTTTTTTATTTTATTCTTGACTTTTTTGCTTTTAATTTGTTCAATGACCATTTTTAGTTTTCTTTTAATATTTTTAGGTCTTTTATTTTTCTTATTTTTAGGCTTATTTCTCTTTTAATTTTTTTATTGATTCTATATGATTAATGTTGATTGTTTGGAATATTATTAGAAGTTTTTATCTTGATTTCTTTTGAACTTATTAATTTTTATGTATTAATTAAATATAATTCTATAAATCATTGATGTTATTAATTAAGTCTATATTTTTAAAAGAAAAAAATATTTATATTAAAAATATCTACTTTAATAATAGAAACATGTATTTTATGTTCTATTACATTTTTTAAAAATCTTATTATTATTATTATTTTTATTTTTTTATTAACATATAATGAGTATTTTTTTTCTCTCATTATATATGATGAAAACAAAGAAATGACACATCATTGCAAAATTTGGTGGATTCTCAATTTTAGTCTTTTATTTTTTTTATAAAATTTAGGCACATTTATAAAAAGAGCATAGCAATATTTTGTATCTTAAGGTAATAAACTATTATAATATTTTGTAATTTTATAGAATATCTAAATTATTTAATTATACACAATAATTTTTATTTTATTTTATTTTATTTTTTCTAATCTAACTCTTTTATTAATAAAACTTCATTGTGTTATAAATAAAGGCTTGTATCTTTTAATTGTTTTTGTAAAAATTCAAGTTGGCTGAATGTCATTATGTCTTCTTTTTGTTGTTAAATATGTGTTAGTAGGAATTAATAACTTCTACGAAGCATAATTAATTGTTGCAAATTCGTTCACAAATTGTCTTGTATCTAATGCGTCTTTGTTTTGTGGTATACATATGCATTAAATTTTAAATTATTTATATTTTTTGATCTTTTTTTAATCTGTTATTGTATAAATAATTCCATCTAATAAATGTTTTTTATTTTAAATTTTGAACAAGGTCTTAAATAATTATTTTTTTGAAATAAATTACTTATAAAATTTATTTTTAATTATTATGTGATTTTAGTATATAGTTAAAACAACATACCTTATAATAAGATAAGAAAAAAAAAGATATTTTTGTTATTTCAAACTATAAAAATATAAAAATATATTTATAAGCCTATTTATTTTTTGTCTTAAATCACTCCATGAGTATTTTTATTCTTAATTGACTTACTTAAAAATCCATACTTGAATTAATTGCATAGTAAATTGTATATTACTTAAATTTTATTCTAAAGAAGTTTATTATGTTATAAATCATGTTTTATCATCTAAACACTTTTTGTAAATCTAATTAAGGCTAATAGATTCAAATTAGTTTGAAGAAATTAAAGAAGTTGGTGATAAAATATCACAAGCTTTTGTTGATATAGAATATGGTAGGAACCATGTTTTAGAACCTTAAGTAGTTTTCATATCTTATTTGGTTTTAAAGACTAATGTAACTAATACAAATAACTAAATTTTTTCTATAGAAATTAAGTTAATTTCATAATTTTATTAAGAGAATTATATATTATTATACCTTTAAAATTATAAGAAACATCAATTTCTACTTATCTTTTAAATTTTAGTAGATTTATTAAAAGAAATATTTTTACTATATTATATTTTACTAAGTGAGAGAATTTTATGTAATATATAGCAAATATATTAGTAACCTCTCAAATTAAGATACGATAAGTAATTACTTTAATTAAGATTTTTTTCATGTCTTTTATTATTTAAGATATATTTAATAATTATCACGAATATATATTTTTTATATTTGTTACCTAATATCAAGGATTTGAATCTCAAAGAAAGAAAATCCTCAACACACTCTTGTATCATTGAAAGAAACTAGAAAGTCACTCAAAGATGATATAATATTGAACTAAAATGGCTATTGCAAAAAACAAGAAAACTAGAAAGACTTGAAATAAGACTAAAGACTAGAAAGGCATTAATAAAAGTGAAGAAGGCTTCATTCTTTCCTCCATATATACTCTTAATTAAGAGATACGTGCCAATGTCCTATAAGTCCTCAAAAACATGTTGACTTTATAAGACACATATCTTAACTTACAAAGTAAGTTTTCTAAATGTGTACCACATAGTTAGCTTGTTCCATTAGCTATCAATATGTCATTGATTTGTTGATCAAGTTTCTAACCTACTAATCAAGTATAAATACATGTAAAGTCAAGCATTGTCTATGAAGCTTTTCTAAAAGGTCTTATGAAATTAACCTACTTTTATCTATTTTTATTTATTCATACTTAACCATATAAATATTTACTAGAATATCTATGTATGTCTATGACATTATTCTCTCTTGTATGGATGACTTCCACAAAGAGCAATCTTTATATATTGAGGAAATCCAAGATGCAACAAATTCTATTTATCACATACTCTAATATTTATTCTCTTCAAAGATGGTTGATAGGCCCTGTCAACCATCGATAGTGTCCCATATTAAGACAAGAAGACCACCTTATTTTTGGTCATTATTAAGGCCTTTATAACTTCCTTCAAATTAAACATTTGAAACATTGTTAGGAATTGTTTCTACCTCTAATAAAATCACCAAACATCAAGAGTCTCTTCCAAGGTGATGATATCAAACACATTGTATCTCGCCATCTATTTGAGAAAAAATATGTTGTTCTTGAGGATCTT